CAGATCTCATCTCTGTTCCCTACATTTGTCTGTCGGTGTGTATGTGTCCGTTCTCTGTCCTCTTCTTGTTTGCCTGCGTCCTTGTCTCTGCTTGTCTGTTTCCCTCCCTCCATTTCTCTCCTTCTCTCTGCCAACCTCCCCCGCCTCCTCTGCAGCTCAGCGATAACCCCTGGGCAAGAATGCTACCTAATCTCCTCCCTCCTGGCAGCCTCAGGCCTTCACCCTCTGCCTTTTTTTCTCCCAGCAGCTGCCTGCTTGCCCTGGCAGCCATGAGGCCCCCGTGGTGTCCTCTCCACACTCTCTTCCCGACGTCCCCACTCCTTCTCCTCCTCTTCTTCCTCCTGGGAGGAAGGGCAGAGCGCCTAGAGGACCCAGAGCTACTAGTGACGGTGCGTGGGGGCCGGCTGCGGGGCATCCGCCTAACAGCCCCTGGGGGCCCTGTCTCTGCTTTTCTGGGCATCCCCTTCGCAGAGCCACCCGTGGGTCCCCGTCGCTTTCTGCCGCCAGAGCCCAAGCAGCCCTGGTCAGGGGTGCTGGATGCCACCACCTTCCAAAGTGTCTGCTACCAATATGTGGACACCTTGTACCCTGGCTTTGAGGGCACCGAGATGTGGAATCCCAACCGTGAGCTGAGTGAGGACTGCCTCTACCTCAACGTGTGGACACCCTACCCTCGGCCTACATCTCCTACCCCTGTCCTTGTCTGGATCTATGGGGGTGGCTTCTACAGTGGGGCCTCTTCCTTGGACGTTTATGATGGCCGCTTCCTGGCCCAAACAGAGGGGACTGTGCTGGTATCCATGAACTACCGGGTGGGAGCCTTTGGCTTCCTGGCCCTACCAGGGAGCCGGGAGGCCCCAGGCAATGTAGGTCTCCTGGATCAGAGGCTGGCCCTGCAATGGGTGCAGGAGAATGTGGCAGCCTTTGGGGGGGACCCGATGTCAGTGACTCTGTTTGGGGAAAGTGCAGGTGCTGCCTCCGTGGGCATGCACCTGCTGTCCCCACCTAGCCGGGGCCTGTTCCACAGGGCTGTGCTTCAGAGTGGTGCACCCAATGGCCCCTGGGCCACGGTGGGCATGGGAGAGGCCCGCCGCAGGGCCACACTACTAGCCCGCCTCGTAGGCTGTCCCCCAGGTGGGGCTGGTAGCAATGATACAGAGTTAGTTGCCTGCCTGCGGACACGGCCAGCTCAGGACCTGGTGGACCACGAGTGGCACGTGCTGCCTCAGGAAAGCGTCTTCCGCTTCTCTTTCGTGCCTGTGGTGGATGGAGACTTCCTCAGTGACACTCCCGAGGCCCTCATCAACACTGGAGACTTCCACAGCCTGCAGGTGACTAGTGGCTGGAGGGGGTGGAGCTGGTTCTTTTAGGCCTGTTCTCCCATCTGCCCTCTCCCTGGGGACCCAGGCATGAGGGCTCCTCAAGACCCGCTCCAAAAGGCCCAGGCTTCATTTCTCTGAGGGCTTGATCCCAGGGTGGCCAGTGGGACAGAGAGGAAAAGAAATGTGGGTATATTTTCTCCTTCTCTCTATCCCTTCCCAAATCTCGTACTCTCTTCCTCTGTGGTTCTGGGTCTGTAACTGTTCATCTCTCTGGCTCTTTGTCCATCTGTTTCTGTCTACCTGTCTGTCTGTGTCTGCCCCATCCCCACTTCCTCCATCCTGTCCCCCCAGGTGCTGGTGGGTGTGGTGAAGGATGAGGGCTCCTATTTTCTGGTTTACGGGGCCCCAGGCTTCAGCAAAGACAACGAGTCTCTCATCAGCCGGGCCCAGTTCCTGGCCGGGGTGCAGGTCGGGGTCCCCCAGGTGAGTGACCTGGCTGCCGAGGCTGTGGTCCTGCATTACACAGACTGGCTGCACCCTGAGGACCCAGCACGCCTGAGGGAAGCCATGAGTGATGTGGTGGGCGACCACAACGTCGTGTGCCCTGTGGCCCAGCTGGCTGGGCGACTGGCTGCCCAGGGTGCTCGGGTCTATGCCTACATCTTTGAACACCGTGCGTCCACACTCTCCTGGCCCCTCTGGATGGGAGTGCCCCACGGCTACGAGATCGAGTTCATCTTTGGGCTCCCCTTGGAACCCTCGCTAAACTACACCGTCGAAGAGAGAGCCTTTGCCCAGCGACTGATGAGATACTGGGCCAACTTCGCCCGCACAGGGTCAGCAGTGCCAAGGGGAGGATGACCTCTGGGAGCCAGGGAGGCAGGGTGCATACAAACAGAGAGAGACAGAGAAAGAAGGAGACAGAGACAGACAGGAAGGGCAAGAGAGAGGAGGGAAAGTTCACAAAGGAAAGGAGAAAAGGGGGAGAGAGTGAATGACAAAGATGGAGAAAGGAAGACAGGAGGAAGGAAAGCAGGGTGGCAGATCCTGAAGAGACAAAGAATAGCAGGAGAGGGAAGCAAAGAGATGGACAAGGAGAAACAGAAAAGTTAATAGTAGTTAGGAGCATGAGCTGTAGAGTTGGATCAGTTGGACCAGAGATAGGACTGGGCCTGGTTACATAGTAACCAGGGGACAATCTGATATCACTTGTCTATTGTCAGAAGTAAACATAATGTTCATAGAGATAGGACTGGCCTGGTTACATAATAAGAGGTCAGTAAATCAATTTTTTAAATGAGAGAAACAAAGACAACGATGGAGCAGAAAAACAGGGAAAGGGCGAGGACAGATAGAGGGAGGGCAGAAGGAAGGGGAAGACTCCTGACCATGAGGGTAGTGGAGAAGAGGAAGAAGAATTAAGCGGTGGCAGTGGAAGGGAGGGGATGGGGCTCTCCTTGGAGCAAAAAGGGCATGGGGTCTAGAAGCAGCCTGCCTGCTTCCTCCTCCTCTCAGCTCCATCCCCAGCTCCCAGAGCGGGGCAGGCTTGCTTGAAGCTGAATCATGCCCTTCCTCCCGCAGGGACCCCAATGACCCCGGGGACCCCAAAGCCCCGAAGTGGCCACCATACACGGGGGGAGCGCAGCAGTATGTGAGCCTGAACCTGCGGCCCCTGGAGGTGAGGCGAGGGCTGCGCGCCCAGACCTGCGCTTTCTGGAACGGCTTCCTACCCAAATTGCTCAGTGCCACCGGTATGCAGGGGCCAGCGGGCAAGGGGTTGGGCAGAGTGGGGGAGAAATGGAGCAGGGAGAGAAAGAGAAGGGAGTGGAAGCAGTCCAGGTATAACTCCTCTCTTCTCCCCATCAGCCCCGGAGGCTCCCAGCACCTGCCCAGGCCCCGCCCATGGGGAGGCTGCCCCGAGGCCCAGGCCTGGCCTCCCCTTACCCCTCCTCCTCCTCCTCCTCTTCTCTGGGCTTCAGCGGCTGTGACCACGGCCTCTTCCCTCTCCGGCCTCAGGGGGCCCCTCCTCTAAAGAGTGGTCGGACCGTGGGGAAGGGCCCCACTCAGGGATCTCCGACTCAGCGCCCTGTCCCTTCTCAAACCGATAGACTCAAACTGGACAGGGCGTAGGGAAGGCTGACCTACGAGCCGTCTCAGGGACCCACGCGCCTTTGTTGTTTAAATGGAAATGAAAAAGCCAATTTTCTTTTTTTATAAAATTATTCCTTGGAGCCTGAGCCTGGTGTTGGGAGTAAAGGGAAGAGCCGGGGCTAGATAGCATCTCCTAGTGGGGCTATAACTGTCAACCATTTCTGTCTCTTCTCTTTTCCTCATCAACCAATGGATGCTCCCCCTTCTGATCCCTTCTATCCCCATGTCTTCCGGTCATTTTCTCCCCCTCCCTCCTCCTTCCTGCCATCCTTGTTCGGCCCGCCTCTACCCTCATCCTCCCTCTGGCCTTTCGTCTTTCGTATATTCTCCTGATCCCTTCCACCCTCCCATGCGGCCCCCTTTCTCCTTGCGTCCTTCTGCACTCACGCCCCTCCCCATGTCCGTTCCTCAACCTTCCCCATGTCTACCCCACCCTCTTGCTGGGCACCCTGGCCGCAGACACGCTGGACGAGGCGGAGCGCCAGTGGAAGGCCGAGTTCCACCGCTGGAGCTCCTACATGGTGCACTGGAAGAACCAATTTGACCATTACAGCAAGCAGGATCGCTGCTCGGACCTGTAACCCAGGAGGAACCCCCACGTCCCGCCGCCCTGCCCGCCCCTCCAGGCCCGCTAGCTGTATATACTATTTATCTAAGGGCTGGGATATAACCGGAGCCCTAGACCCTGCCCATCCCGACTTTGCCCGGGGGCTCCCGGTCCTCTGCATGTCTCGGCCGAGCCCCCTCCCCCCATCACTCCCCCGCGGTGCCTTTGCCCCTCTGGGCTGCCAATAAACTGTTATGGCCACAGGCGTGTGCACGACTGGGAAGCGGGGGTTGGGCACAATGCCTAACCACTGGAGCTGAGCGATCGGTTGGGTGAACGCCTGAGACCGCCGACTAGCAGTCTGAAAAACAGGCTGCCGGGTGCGGGCCCCAGCAAGGAGGAACTCGCGCCTGCGCAGTAAGAAGGGCGGTGCTGGCTCGGCGGGGCAGCGGTGCATTGTGGGAATCCCGCGGACTGGCTCGGTCCCCACAGCCATCCCGCGCGTTCAGCTGCTGCGGGGTTCCCAGCAAGAGTGTAGCCAGAACCTGCGCGCCGGTCTTGCCCGCAGCTAACCCAAGATCCGATCCGAAAGTAAGCGTTGGAATTCGCCCCGTGGCCCCAGGACGCAGCATCTGTCAGGCTTCGGCAACCTCTGCTCTCGCCAACCGCCCTGGAGCCACTGAAGGACGTCCACCTGGGCCTTGCCCCACCCAGACGCGGCCCCGCTCGCCTGGCGGCCCTCTCGGGTCACTATCTCTACTATCACTACGGCTGCGACGGTTTGGACGATCGGGGCTGGGGCTGCGGATACCGCACTCTGCAGACGCTGTGCTCGTGGCCAGAGGGCCGGCCCGCCGGCGTGCCCAGCCTGGCCGCCATACAGGCGGCACTGGAGGACATGGGCGACAAACCCCCCGGGTTCCGGGGTTCCCGGAACTGGATCGGCTGTGTAGAGGCCAGCCTCTGCCTGGACCACTTTGGAGGACCCCAGGGTCGCCTATGCCACGTGCCCCGTGGAATGGGGCTTCAGGGAGAACTGGAGATGCTTTACTCCCACTTCGCAGGGGGTGGGGGACCTGTAATGGTTGGAGGGGATGTGGATGCCCAGTCTAAGGCCTTGCTGGGAATCTGCCTGGGGCCAGGCACCGAAGCCTACGCCCTGGTATTGGACCCTCACTGCTGGGGTGCTCCGAAAAACCCCAGTGAACTACAGGCCACTGGGTGGGTGGGCTGGCAAGAGGTAAGCACAGCCTTTGACTCTAACTCCTTCTACAACCTGTGTTTGACCAGCCATAACTCTGAAAAGCAGCTGTGCACCCTGGACTGAGGCAGAAGTCCCAGAACGGAAACTGTTTCCAGCACCCCTGACCCCCAACCCCCACCTACCCACTTTCAAAGGCAGAGGCTTAGAAGCTGTATGTCAGGCCCTCCAGAAAGTCCCTGCAGAACCTGGGGCCTTTCGCATCAAAGTGGCAAGCCCAGCTAACCACTGCCCCAGCCAATGTTTGGGAGGCTCTAGGGAAATACATATATTATATATTCAGTCAGGAATCGCTGTGGAAGTGCTTTTATTGGCAGTAGGGCTGGATGTACAAAAAAATTCTCAGCTGGATAAGACAAGGCAGTCACAAGTATATAGATAACAAGAGTGAGGAAAAGTAGATGGCTCAAAAGAAATCCACATCATCTGGAGCATCCAGGTCACGGTATTCCACAATGGCCCGTGGGTCTCCACGGACCATCCTGTGAGATAAGAAAGTGGTAAGATGAAATGAAAGTTACTCCTAGTTTGAAAAGGGCAAGAAAGTTTGGACAACTTAGCTTATTCTCACCTGTTGCGAGGTTTCCCAGGATAACCTCCCTGGCCTCGGAAGGCATCATAGTTCCCTCGGCCAGCACCATAGGGGGCATGAGGATATGGAGGCCCTCCTGTGGGGACTGCAGGGCGGACAGCACCAGCTACAAAAAAGATCAGTGTTGAGCTGAAACTCTATAACCTCAACTATATCTTAGCTGTTTTCTCCCAGCCCCTCACAATCACCAAGCCCTTTCAATTCCCTCCTATACTTACCTCCATAGCCCAAGATCGGGGGCCGGGGCTGACCATAGGGCATCAGGCCCTGGGGAGTCTGGTGTGGGTAGGGGAGTCCTGGGGTCAGGCCTGGGGGGAGTACAACACAGACAGGGACATGAATTA